TATTGCGGCACAGACAGTAATTTTTAGAGAAAAACTAAACAAAAAACAAATCTTCAGCATTTATATAGATTTTGTTTTTTTTTATTATTTATTTTTGTGGGTTTGCAAGTCAAGAAAAACAATTACAACATGTCTTCAAAGATATATCATGTAACATATTACATACTAGACCACCATTGTATGTTATAGAATTGCACAGGTGCTGCGTCTACCCATTTTTGTTTTGTTAGTCAGGCTAATCCTCCTCTTATCTGTATAGAAGAAGTACAGGGATATGTCTGGGAGGACTTGGGTAATAAGCTCAGTGTGCCCTGCTGATCGATATAGGGTGTCATGCTTTGCCTAGGGTAATTGTGTTGGGAGGTTGGGGGAGTTTAAACAGTATGGCCTGTGGTTGCCCATGGCCTTGTGTGGGCCTTTTGGTCAGTCCGAGTTTTCCAGGTGGTTCGCCTACCTTGTGGTGTGGAGGTATAAACTAGTTGGTTGAGACCCCACACTGTCTGAATAAGGGAGGGGATGTGGGGGGGGGAGGGGTTTATGTAGATCGTGTTGTTGGCCGTCTGCTTACTGAGCCAGGGTGGAGTTAGTATCTCCTAATCTGAACTGTGAATGTTGAGCTAAAGTAAACATTAATGCTGGAGTAAATGTAAAACGTAACAAGAAGTCATGCATACATGCATATAAAACTGGTATATATAATGGGCCTAAGAGGCCTTCAACTCGGAGTTGTAGTCCCCATTACAAAGTACATCATGTAATGCTGTAGGGGTGAGCATTCGCTCAGCTCAAGTTTGCTGGTCCGTCGCCCCTGGTACCATTCCCCTAGGCGCAAAGGGGGTGACTTCTGTGAGATTCCACAGTAGGCGGGCACCTGTGTTCACCACTGGCGTTGAGATGCCTATTGACTGGAAGAAAGTTGGTGCCTCTGAAGCTCTCATTAGGAGGTGTGTCTTTCCGTCATGGTCCACCATCAGTCTGTGGGGACCCCATTTGTAAGGGATAGAGTTCTCTCGTAGGTGCTGCGTAATGTGGTTCTGCGCCATGTTAGGGTGTGTCTCGACAGGTCTCTGTACAGTGTCAGGCTTGCTCCTTCAAAAGTAATTGTGGGGGAACCCCGTGCTGCTCCCATAAGGGCCCCCCTGTCAGAGTCCCGAACCATTTTAAGTAATACATTCCTTGGGGCATCCTGTGGTGCCTTTGTGGCCTTAGGGAGTCGGAAGCAGGAGTCAATTCCAACCTGTTTAGCCTGTTTTAGGAGTAACAAAGTGGCTATCAGCCTTCTGCAGTAGTGTGGCAATTCCACGGTATCGATCGTTTCAGGTACCCCTCTAATACGCACATTTCATGCTTTTGCTTTATCTTCCATGCCTGCTAGCTGGGCTGCCAGTGTAGTACACTGTTTCTGTATGGATCCTAAAGTTGTGTCTGTGGCCATTTGCCCCACCCTAGTGCTTCTGAGTGTCTCCTCCGATGAGGCCACGCGGCCTGTAACAAGTGAACAAGTGCCATATCGGCGTCAAACATCGCCCTGATTTCCAGCATCATAGTCTTTATATCGGCTTTCGTGGACGGTGCCAGGTCGCCTAGGTCTGGTGGCTGCTGGGGCTTAGTTTGTACCTTAGACTGTGCAGGCAGGGTGTCCGGTAGGCTGTCGTTGTCTGAGGACTGCGAGGTAAAGGCCTCTGCCGGTGCCATCTTGGCGGGCTCGTGGCGCTGGGTCAGGCACATGAAAGCGCCTATATTTCTGGATCCGGAGCTCAGTTCCGCTCTGTGCTTTTTTGCTTTTTCCACATGGTCCAGGGCATGCAGGGGGTCATTTTCTCGGCACCCCGTTGTGGATTTAGCCTCCGTTTTAGCCGTATTATCGTGTTGGCCGTCGGAGCTGCGGTAAGCTGCGACTTTCTCGTTCAGGCGCTGGCTCAGTCCTCCATTCCTTTTGTACGCCATAATGGGTCTCTCTGTAAAAAGATGACAGGTAGTTGGGTCACTCTGTAACACATGCCAATTCTTAAGAATGGCTCACAAACCCAGATTTAGTTGAATAAGTAGTAGCACAAGGAATTCTGTTAGTTTTTTTTTCCTATTACCCTGTGATTGCAATAGGGTGGTCCTCTCAATGGTTTTAACCTTTTCAAAACCTTGATGTGGAGAAGTATCATTGTAGCCTCTGGAGCAGAAATTATCCATCATCTTGTGTGCCTGTGTATCGAAGTTCTCCTCCTGAGAAACAATATGTCGGACATGTAACAGTTGGCTGAATGGTAAACTTCGAATCATGTTGGCAGGATGGAAGGAGTTGGTCTGTAGGAATGTAATCTTATCAGTGCGTTTCCTAAACAAATCAAATGTTAGGCCATCTACAGTGTTACTTATTACCACATCCAGAAAGTGTATATTGGATATGTCATGTTCAAGTGTAAATTGAATACTTGAGACATATTAGTCCAAATCAGATTTGAATAGCAATACATTTTCTTCCGTGCCATTCCAAAGGAAAAACACATCAATATAGCTAAGCCAAATGATGATGTATTTGAACAAAGGATGCAAATACACAAAGTCTTGCTCGAACTTGGCCATATACAAATTGGCATATTGGCCCCCATCGCTGTGCCTTGTATTTGTAAAAAGAAAGCATTGCCAAATGTAAAAAAAAAATGCATGTCAACACAACTTCAAGTAATGATAGAACGCAATCACATAAATCAGAACCAATATCTTATTTGGCCAAAGATGAAGCTGCAGCTTCAATCCCTCCCATATGGGGAATGGATATGTATAGACTACACACACCCATCGTACATAAGATAGTAATAGAGCATGAAAACTTTAGTCCATCCAATTTCCCCCAAAAAAATCAGTGGTGTCACATATATATGATTTAATCTGTACAACCTGGATCTGTAGAAAGGCATCAACATATTGTGCTAATGGTTGTAATACTGACCCACAACCCAAAACTATTGGCCTCCCTGGGGGGTTCAGAAGATTATTGTGAATCTTATGAAGTAGATACAGAAAGGGTATTCTGGGTGTGGAGATATTCAAGAAATCTAAAATATTTTTATTGATCAGATTCTGTTCCAATGCCCATGATGTGACAGTGTAGTGTCATATCGGACTCACCGGCCAAGCCCCTCGTGTCCAAGATGTGTACCATCAGCTGACAGCCCGCCAACAGGGGAGCCACCCAGTGCCAAGAAAGCCCTGACGAAGAACGTCTCCAAGACCTGAAACAAGAAGGAGAAGTCCTGGGCAGGGTGTACTGTTCCCGAGCCACCCTCCTGTCCCGGCCCTGGGAGCACCTGCTTGATACCAAAGCCTCCCGCTGCAAGCCGCCATACCTCTTCCCCCCCGGAGGCCCGGACAGCCCTGCCCCTGGGACTACGCCTCCTGCCATCCCTTCCAGACGACCTGCCCTGCCATCCTCGCCTGGGGCTCCTAGTAGATCCCCGCCAAGCTACCAGATGCAGACCGGTGCTGCCTTGACCTCCCAGGCGTGTCCCTGTCCCCCCTTTCCCCAACTGCATAAGAACTGCCACTCCCAGACTCTGAAGAGGACCTACTCCATGACCTGCACCTCCCCCATCGCCTGGACCTAGGGGATGAACCAGCCCCCTCCCCAAATTATCTACCTGCCCCCCGTCCAGGCCGTAAACCCTCTGCCCTGAGGCGTGGTCCACTTGACCCAGGCACAGCCCCCCGTCACCCTGGGCTGGAGTACCCTCTTCAACAGACACCTTCCCTGCATGATGCTGGGCCCTCTCCTGGGCACCCCTACCTGCACCCTCCCCAGACCCAGTAATGGGGGGAACACCCACCTTGCCCCACCACCGCCTTGCCAAGGGAGCCACCACCCAGCCCCAAGTCAGACCGCCGCCCAGGAGCCATGGGACTGCAAGACCCCCTACAAACCGCTATCCACCCCACTCCAGCCTCCCCAGTAAACCCCAAACCCTCTGTGACTGAAGGGGATCTCCCTCCCAACCCAGCCACCCCCTTGCCATCCTTGGGGGCCCGAGAAGCACCCTAACAGCCCAGAACCCCACCACCTGCACTTGCCTGGGTTGATGAGGACCGGCTCCATGTTACCCCATCCTGCACGCCAGTCCAGGGGGCCCTCCTTCCCCCAACAGGGTCCTTTCTCCTAGCACAGCCCCATCTGACCTGGGGGCTGTAGAGCCGACGTCCCGGGCAACCACCCGACGTGAGGAGCCATGCCTAGGCCCCCATGCCTAGTCCACGCGGCCACCGGGCCTGTTACTGGGACCACGGCCCGCTCCAGTCACCTTGTGTCCGTTCGCTCCACCATCAACGGGCCAAATAGTTTATTTTTATTTATTGATTAGGATACTTTTTTTTTTTTTAAACCTCGGCCTCTCTTTCAAAGTCATAAACATATGTACATTTTTGTCTTAAATGAAGTAATTGCCCACAAGATATATTATTTATCTACTGGGGATGATGAGCACTACTAAAGTGTATATAACCATAAATGTCCACTGTCTTTTGATATGTATTTGAGATTATATTATTATTCAGGATGATACTTGCTTTATAGAAGAATGGACTCATTCTCCTTCAGTATGATGAGGTTAATCATTAAAAGAAGTAAATACATACTTTTAAAAATTAGCTAGTGAAATTAACAAAGAACAATCATACAAATGCAGAAAGGTCTGACTTTTTTTTTTTTTACAAAAACAATTCAAATAGGAATTGAAAAAATAGAGAATGACACAATAACTATTAAAGAAAAAAAATGTGGTGGGCGTGTTCGGCTGGCAACCAAGTTGACCGCATAAGGCTTGAGCTCCGCAGCACAAGGCGGTAAGCACTTTAATACAGCTGAAATCCAGACGGGCTATGCCCAATAAAAGACAGCCAAAATCAGTCTAACCTGCCTCATCACAACCAAAATGCCCGGCAGGTGACAAGCACAAATGAAGCACTTTTTGGCAAAGAAAGCGCGGCCTGCTCAGAAACCCAAAATAGCGGAGATGGATGGTGACAATATCTCTACAAGCTCAGGAGACTCACTGGATGTGGAAGCAGGCAGTGACATTTGGTCACTGCTCCACAGGCTCCGTACTAAAGCAGATATTACAGATATGTTTCGAGAGATGGAGGCATCCCTGCGGAACGCCATCACCTCCATCCGTGAGGAGATGGAAAAGATAGGACCCAGGGTCACTGATCTGGAAGATGAACTTGAACTTACCCTCACTGAGGTTGACCAGCTTTGGCAACAAGTCATACAACCGCAGGAACAGATGGCCCTTCTCCACCGCTATGTGAAAGACCTGGATAACAGGGGGCGCCAGAACAATTTGCGCATATGAGGGGTGCCGGAATCCTCTGGCCCTGAAAATGCCATTACCATCTTAACTGGAATCTTTAACAATATTATGGGCATGCCTGGAGACACTACTTGCACTTCCACGCCCATACTGTACAATAATAAAGCTACTGAGATATATCAAGATCTATCATGGTCTACATTCTAAGCCAGAGGGCAATTAAAGCCCCTCACTGAAGCTCTCTCTGCAAAGGGCCTGAAATACAGATGGGGCTTCCCACTCAGCCTGTCAGTTCAACATGATGGAGCGCTTTACACAGTCACAAGCCTTGAGGAGATACCAGAATTCACATCCAAGCTAAACCTGCCGGTGCCAGAAATTCCAGCATGGCATGGCAACATCCAAGCACCAGCACAACCACCAAGGCCCAGCGTGAGAGATGAAATAAGGTACCACCTCGACACAAACCAGGAAGGAGCAAACAGGCCTGACCGGATTTAATATCCCAATAGCCAAGTGGTTTAATGCTGAACCCGCAGGATACTGAGTGGGATGTACCCTCTGCCCTCCAGGGCGTGGACATCTACATCTTTCTAATATAATATTTTGCCAGGCACCTTGCCAGAGCCTTGGACTCAAGACAGTGGATGCAGAGCTTACACCCCTAGTCTTGCTCACATCCAGTTGTTATACTGCGCCTACAGTATATACCGGGGCTTAGTACTGACATATGAGGCTTCCCTCCTTGATCCCAACATATTGCTAACACCACCCACAGAAGTTGTCTTGCAGGCGCTATTGGACTTTAAGCCTATGCAAATCTCCTATTCTCAATGCTTTCCTATGGACGCTGGCGTCTTCTCACTGTGAAAATCACAGTGAAAAGAGCGGAAGCGCCTCTAGCGGCTGTCAATGAGACAGGGGTTGCAGGATCAGGGTGGGTTTGTCAGTAAGGGGGTGCCGGGGGGTTGAGGGGGTGGGATCCAGGCTGCCGCGGCTGGACCGGGGCATTGCTCAAGTTCTGGGGGCCCCGCTGTTCACCTGGGACTGGAACCCAGAGCGGTTCTGTTTGTTTATTGCATATATTGTTTATTCCTATTTGTAAGGTGTTGCAAACTCTCCTCTATCTGTTACTTTTTTTGCTACTTTGGTTGCTTTTCCTGAAATACTGTTGCGGACCATTCGTATGTACGAATGACCGTCCCTTGGCGTGTGCCACCAATTAACTCCATTCACCTCTCACAATACCGAACAAACTATTGAACGGCCAACCACCCTACCTGAGGAGTGTGCCCCCAATTAACCAACCTGAAGTTTTGTGGTTAACCGCAGCCTAATTGACCGCCGACGGGATGGTCGCCATTCGTGTAGGAGAGTGTCGAACAAAGTACCGAACCAAATGTTGAACTAACTGTTGAAGGACTGACCTCCCTGTCTGAGGAGTGTGCCCCTGATTAACCACCCTGAAGTTGCAGTTTTGTGGTTAACCACAGCCTAATTGGCCATCGACAATGTTGGTCGCCGTTCGTATGTACGAACATGTGGCGGAGGCCATCTTTTATTACCGTACGCCCAGCGGGACCTGGTTGTCAAATGCCTGGTACTGTTTTCGGGATTCAATAACCCACAAACCCCGCTGGGATTCAGCATGCCCCTTCCATCCATGAATAAAACACCGAAGATCATGCCGTTAGACAATTTTATATTACGGAGAATATACCGACCCCTTGCACGACATTATGGCTGAGGTTCCAGGGGCTGCCGAACAGCCCTCAAAGACACCTTTCACCTCCATGGCGTACCCATATCGTTCGTGAGATCGGAGTGCTTTTCGTGTATCTTGTGCGCTCAGATCCAAGCACTATGGTGTATAAGTTATATATTTTTATTCATTTTTCGTGTAACCATAAAAGTTATGTACCTTGAGATAATTGAGTTACTGTAACCATTGAGACCAATTATCTCCAGGCTAGAGGGGAGTGTTTTGAAAAATGCATTTTGTTCATTGTGGTGGCTGCTCGTTTTCATCCTGTGTACCATCAGGTCCAGAGGGGTGTTCCTCTGGCCTGAAAATATGTATTTAAGCAGTGCATGAGTGATCAATAATCCAGACGGGCTATGCCCAATAAAAGACAGCCAAAATCAGTCTAACCTGCCTCATCACAACCAAAATGCCCGGCAGGTGACGAGCACAAATGAAGCACTTTTTGGCAAAGAAAGCGCGGCCTGCTCAGAAACCCAAAATAGCGGAGATGGATGGTGACAATATCTCTACAAGCTCAGGAGACTCACTGGATGTGGAAGCACTGGATGCTTACCCTAAACTTGCAGCCTCGACTCGTGTTGTAGGGAAATGCTTTACACTAGCTCTACCTATAGCTAGATGGATGTCTACACTTACAGGATTATTGCTGGATGCTGTTTGGAACTTCGCTACCACTCTCCAGGATTGGGAACCAGGACATCCAAGCGGTCCAACCCTCAGCCAGCCTGGGGGTCAACTGTAACATAAGGGTACTTCTTTGTTGGTGTATAAATGTGGCGACATGTCTATGTGGCCATAGGGCCAGAATATTATGATGCTGCATACTTCCAGTTTCAGGTCTGGACCCTATTCACTCACTCTTATAATGAACTGCCTCCTGGGCTTCCTAAACAATCTAAGCATGTTACTCATTTTGTAAATAGTTATTTGTATCCATTCTGGCAAGTTTGTTTATACTCCCACCTCCCCAAATCCATCAGTCATACACCTTGGATTCACAGAATGTTAGGTCACTCCCCCATAGATATGTCTCAACTAATCATTGTGTCAATTAATGCTAGGGGTCTCAATGCCCCGGAGCGGAGAATGTGTGCCCTAAGGGAATTTCACTCAGCTCAGTGGTGTTTGAATGCTCACTTAAAAACAACAATAGAAAGGGATGTGGCCGACAACCCCATCACGATGGACGAACTAACCACAATCGTCAAGAAATCCCCCCTGAATAAGAACCCTTGGCCAGATGGTCTCACCACTAGGTATTACAAACAATTTCTCCCCACAATTGCACACTGTTTTCTCCATGTTTTTAATGCTCTGACTCAGATACACCCAGTACCACCACAAAAGTTAGAGGCCTATACCACCCTCCTCACAAAGCTGGATAAAGACCCAGAATTGTGCTCAAGCTACCACCCCATTTTTTTTTTAATCAATATTGGCCAGCAGACTGGGACCTCTTATGGGGAAAGGGGTCCAACCCAATCAGATGGGCTTTGTTCCATCAAGGGAAGCCAAAGAAAACACAACTAGGGTAGTCAACCTGCTCTATGCTGCAAAACAGTCCAGGCATCCTTCCCTTTTTATATCAACGGACGCTGAAAAGGCGTTTGATTGGGTGGACTGGCTCTTCCTGAGAGCCGTCTTTAGACAACTGGGCCTTGGGGCAAAATGGGCAGCATGAATTGATGCCATTTATTCTCAACCATTTGAGCGTATTAATGGATTGCTGTCAGAACCCATATCCAACAATAATGGCACCCACCAGGGATGCCCACTCTCTCCCTTGCTATTTGCACTCACATTGGAACCCTTTCTAGATGCAGTTAGAGCAAATACAAACATCTCTGGATTCTCCAGAGGGGATTCTATTCACCAGGTCACCGCATATACGGATACTCTTCTTTTTTCTTTGACGGACCCCATGGCCTCCTTCACCGAATTAGTCCAGGAAATAAAACAGTACAGCTCTCTATTATTGTTTTTGGTAAACTAAGATAAATCTGAGTTCCTGTCTGTTGGGTTCCCAGTGGAGCTCAGTATCAGCATTAAACACGTCTTCCCCTTCATGGAAGCCAAAAACTCATTCACTTGCATGGGCATTAACCCCTTAAGGACACATGACATGTGTGACATGTCATGATTCCCTTTTATTCCAGAAGTTTGGACCTTAAGGGGTTAAAATGACGCTGTCCACTGCAGAATTGTTTCAGGCCAATTTCCTCCCTCTACTGCAGTCAATAAAAGCTGATCTTCTGCGGTGGCATGAACCCATCATATCCTTAACATCCTAAAAATGAATGTTCTTCCTAGGGTACTCTGTCTCCTCATGGCCCTTCCAATCTACATTCCAAAATCCTTTTTTAGCAGCCTTAACACTACATGTTTGAACTTTGTGTGGATGCACAACAAATCTTGCCCCAATACCATAGGCATGTCGCGACATTGCAATAGGGGTGGTCTGCTTTTTCCTGACGCACATAGATACTATCAAGCAAATGCCCTGACAATAATTAAAGACTGGGACAACAACGGTCTTGACAAACCCTGGAAACTACTTGAGGCTAGTTTCCTTACCATACCTATCAGCACTGTACCATGGCAGGTGGCAGACTTGGGTTCTATGTGTTCATCACAACATCCTACAATTATACCAACACGTTAAATTTGGTGCACACTCTGGTCCCATCCAACCCTGTCCCCTCAGTGCTTACCACTCCTCTCCCTGACACATAATCCTCCAACTTGGTTATCTTAGTGCATACTGAACAAATAAGATATATGTCTCACTGATCTTGATAGCTCCGGTTCTACGTTGCGTCTGGACTCATAACTTACCTTATGTAACACTACCTTCCATGATGAATTTAAACATCATCAACTCACCCACTATCTTAAAACCCTTCCTCACCCTACTAATATTATACACTCCCTTACCACCTTCAAAACATTGTGTTCCGCACAAGGGATTCAAAAACATTCACTCTCGGTTTGTTATAAACTTATAGGGGATACCCACATGAATTCTTTACTGTCGTACACTAAATTTGGGGAATAGGAGCTACATATCTCTCTAATGAATCACCAATGGGAAAAAAAATCCAAGTCACAAACACACTCACCACTAGTACCTACCAGTTGGAAATGAAACCTGAAGCTCTTGACGAGATGGTATCATACACCAGATAAGCTGCACAGATAGAACCCGCAGACCCCAGATGTGAGTTGGCAATGTGGTTCTGATAGGGAAACAGTGCTCAACATCTGGTGGCACTGCCCT